TCTTCTTATTCTTTTAATTTTATACCGAATGGATCATGAAAGAACTGTAGTAAAAACACAAGGACGCAAGCTGAAATCTCTATTCAATCAAATACATCATTGTAGTATAACAGGAAATGTGTATGAGTGTACTAATAATTCACAGTAAATTTAACTATCTTCAGAAATTTTGGCAGTGAGGTGGACAGCTTATGAGTCCTTACTCCGGTTTCTGATTTCCCGACCCATTCCCGGGAATGTAATTGTCGTTCCCAGGATTCCCGAAAATACGTCAAAATTTCAAAAAATTTAAAAACAAGTTATTTTAAAATAAACTGAACAATAATTACATAAAATAAGGATACATACAAATCCCAAAATTAATACTTATTTACATAATGAGCTAAAAATACAAAAAATGTTTTATAAATTGATTATTCATTTTTACAATAGGATTTCAGAAAGCATAAGTAATTCAAACTTTTATCACTCAGCCTAGTTCTAAGGTTTGTGACGTACAATCTGTCAGCAGAAAATGCTCTCTTTGCTTCAACTGACGTTGGAAGAATTGTTTTTAAAGCTTCACATAGTTTTATAATGTTTGGGGATGGATTTTCAGGTGAGTCGAACAACTGCATCTCTTGTTTCATGATTTTGTTGAAACTATTACTTTTTTTTTGGTTGAACAATATAAAACTTTTGTTTTAGAGTAAATTGCTTTCTCTAATTTTTCGTTCCAACGTCAGAAGTTTTTCTTTCAAAATCTCCATGCTCTTTTCTTCTGAGTGCAAAGAGTTGGATATTGACTCTTGAAAGGTGATTTTTTGAACAATTTTACTATACGTTTCTAAGCCCCGTGCGATTCCCGGGAACGAAGCATAATTCCCGGGAATAGAAAAAAATATTGTTATCTTATGATTTCCCGGGAACGCCTCACTTTGTCTTTACTGCCTCACTATGTCTCAAACGAGGGAAGTCTTAACATCACTAATAATGTAAATCTAGTTCAACGTTTATAAAACTTAACTGAGCCAAGCTTTCCGAGATATGCATTTTATATAGAATAGGAGTTTCTTTTCTCTGTCCTTCGGTTGTGGCCCAACCTTGAGCATGTAAGTATAAAATTAAAAATTTTCACAACTTTCTAACAGGTTCCACGCGAACCCCACCCAACTGCGGTAACCTCTTTAGGGATTTCCCAGGGAAACTTTGGAAAGAGGCCTCTAATGCATTCTTCAGACAAATGAGGCTACTGGAGCAGACTTGATCTTATTTATCGAAAATCTCTTTAACGCAGCCCAAAACAACCCCTGCCCAATGGAATTGCATCACTCCTTAATATTACGGAAAAGAAAGAGCAAAAAATCACCCTGATTTAATTTATCTGGAATATTTTATTTGTACAACAAATGGAATCATAAGCCAATAAAAATTAAGTATTGAAAGAGATCAAAACTCTTAAATTGACCATTTTAATCAATATCAGAAGAGATAACGTATAAAGGGTTAGTTGCAGTTAATTTCCTCATGCAGCATTGGAATTTATACAATATTATACACAATCCCTCAAAATCAATGAATTTGTTACTTAATTATAATTTAGCTATCGGGTGACGCCGGAAACTGCCCTCTCTTTTAACTTCCATGTTTCAATTCACCGTATGTGTGTGAGGGCTTTTGAACCCGACAAACTCAAATCACATCAGCCCTTTTACGTAATAGATCTCTAACTGAATAAATATTATGTTACAATCTTACTATTATGGTGACAAGCTCGATACCATGGCCAACTCATATGGATTGGCTTATTAACTGTTTATTAACATCACACTTTAGAGCAATGCCTTGGCCTCGATAACTTGGCTCCAAATTACGAGGTCCGTCGCCAAAAGCTTTCGGGTAGCTGAACAGTGCGACTTTAATATCCACTCACTCTTGGCCTCGATAGTTGAGTGGTCAGGGACGCAAACTCGTGTCCGGTGATGTTTTTGACGAGTCGTGGGCTCTAGTTCTGGTGCCACTAACCTGCCCTTCAGAGAGGCACACGTTAAATGTGTCCAAGCTCAGAATCTTCACACTGGCGTAGTGTACAAGTTTGGAGAGTGCTGTAACAGCTCAAGTGACGTCCTTGTGACTTCACCGTGGCTTAAAATTAGAGGTCATTTGCCAATAGCCCTCGTCTTGCTTCAAAGTGCGACGTTATTAAACAATAAATCAACTGAAGCAACACAAAGGCTATTGGCGATGGACCTAGAAATTTTGGACCATGATGAAGTGACGAGGAGACCACACCTGAGCATCCCATTTTCCAAACTTCCAAGCAGTTCCAAGGTGAGAATGAGCTTCGACAGATTCATTGTGCTTCAGCCCTCTACATGGTGGGTTCAAATTATATGCAAATTTTCCATTATCTTATTAGGAAGCCCATGCAAACTTCTCCGCCACCCTTGTGTTAGATATGGTGGTTCCTATCATAGTTACTGATTGTTGTCCTTATGTAATGAACGCGCGTAAACATGAAGAAAAAAAAACCAATGCTTCTTTAAAAAATAATTATGATAGTTAAGGCATGCACAAATGTACCGTATATGTGAATCTTTTATATTCGAAATTAATAACTTTCAACTCAGATAGGGGTTATTTAATGTATTTTTTTTGTTTATTATAGCTGATTTTTTATTAGTAAGTGGTGTAGTGTGGGGACTGAGTGAGTGAGTGAGTGAATATTAATGTTGCACTGTTAAGCTACACGAGGGCTTTTGGCGACGAGCCTTGTAATTTTGAAGGTAAAGTGACGAGGACGACACCTGAGCTGGAGCCCCCCTCTCCTAACTACCACACCAACGGGAGGACGTTTGAGCTCTCGACAGATTTAACGTGCATCGCTCCCTTACACGGTGGGTCTTTAGTAGTACTGGGCTCGAACTCGTGACAAGCCAGCCACGATCCGATACCTTGACCACTAGGCTACCGCGGCCACGTGTAGTGTGGGGAATGCTCCCTCGAATATTGTTCTCTGTACTTGAGGTAACTCAAAATATACAATCATTTTAATCTTCCTTGAGTGAGTCTTTTGTTTCTTAATACTTAAAAATATTTTTCAGAATTCTGAAAATTCACATGAGTCATCAAAAGAGACACAAAAATAGTTTCTGGAACAACTGTGCAAATATAATTTTATGTGTGTGAAAACATTTATTATTTTTTGCTCTTCCCGATACACTTCATTGCATTAAAATCGATGCAGCATTCCAGATGTGAGGAAAAAAGTACAATTTCCATAGAATTATCAATACGTTCATGACTTCAAAATGGTTGGGTGATGGGAGACTTAATGGAAAATTTATTAAAACCGGAGCAATAGCACACTTAAAATGTTCCTTACCAAAAAGAAACGATTTCTGAGTATATCAAAGTATGGCAATGGAGCACCTTATGGATAATAGAGAAAGGAATACCCACTCAAATGGAGCCCTGTCATTTGACCGTGGCTCAAAATTACGAGGTCCATCGCCAGTAGCAAAATTATTGGTGCGATGATAATGGGTTAAATTTATGTGACGTCATAGTCACAGGATAACTACTATTACATGTTCCAAGCTAATAATTTCATGTGCCATACTGTTGCCAATTTTTATTGTTTACAGAAACTTTCTTTTAAACATATTTGTCTACAATAATAACGTACGCAGGTAAACGAAATACACTTTATTTTAAAGTACATGTACAGCATAAGAATTTTTCTTTCTCTAAAAAGTTTTTTAAAGTTAATCTTAAGAAAACTTAGGATTTCTTTCTACAATTATATCAAATTTGAATTTAATCTAAATTTTACAAGTAGATTAACAAGTACAAATCTAAAGTCAGTTTTGAGTTCGTTGGAGATCACGTGATTGTATTTATCATGTGACCGTTATGAACTGAGTCCATTAAACAATCCCCATGATGAAAGAAGGCACATTGTATTTAAATAATAGATTATAATAATCACTGGCGTAGAGCTAATCCTGTGTTGCCCCTGTATCAAAATTCCTTGGGGGCCCTTTTTTTAGAAAAGAAATAAAAGAGACTTATTTTTGAAAGTGCCAGAATGTTACACATAACGTGGCCCCTGTAGCTTGGGGGCCCCGTATTATTGATACGGTGTTCGCTACGCCCCTGATAATAATATAAAACACTAATGAAAAGCAAGAGTGTAACTACCGCCGTATGAATCGTATCAATGACATTGGTAGTGGCGTAACGGAGAATATTAGGGTCCTCCTGCAAAGTCAGGTTTTGACCCCAACGTTACACCACTGAACAGGGGGCCCCTAAACGCGTACGCAAAAAATCGTAAAATGTTAAGGGGTGACAAAGAAGGGCTTCTAAGAAATTAAGATACAAGGCCCACTCAGGACAAACTACGCCAGTGATAGAAAGTAAGATCATGTGACACCGCCTTGTTCCATGAGTGCTGCGACGTTTTCACGTCACACAGCCGAAAAATCGGCTTCTTTTTGTGGATAGGATAACACCACTCTTATGCACACGTGAACCTCGAATATTGCGGGGTCTTGCCATCTGAAATCACCCCGGCAACCTATGACAGTGAGAAAACCCAACAACTGGACACCTGAGAGCAGTGGCGTAACGGAGAATATTAGCCCCCCCCCTGCGAAGTCAGGTTTTGTGCTCCAAACAGCAGCTTACAAAGGGTACATAGACATTGGACCCCTTAGAATCCTGGCCCCCCCGCAATGCGGGGGTTGTGGGAGTGTACGTTACGCCCCTAACTGTGAATCAGAAACTTCGAGTGTAATTGGAGGTGTCAGAAAGAAGCAGCCCCATGGAGTGGAGAGGGATTCCGTGGAAAACATATCGAAGCGTCTCCTCCCTCACAAATAGCATATTCACACAAAACACTAATCAAATACTCAATATCATGAATAACTTCAATGTAAATGTACATGCTGCAATAAATAACTGTGGCGAAATAAACCAAATATTTAATTTCTTAACTCTCACGCTACAATTGTATCCATGTAGTGTAATGGATAGCGTGTTGAACTTCCAATCCAAAGGTCGTGGGTTCGATTCCCATCTAGAATGGCCTAATTTCTGAGAATGTGATTTCTTTTTTAGTAGTCAAAGTATCGGATTATGGCTGGCGTGTCACGAGTTCGAGCCCAGAACCACTAAAGACCCATCGTGTAGGGGAGCGATGCACGTTAAATCTGTCGAGAACTCAAACGTCCTCCCTTTGATGTGGGGTGGTTGTTAGGAAAGGGGGTGCCAGCTCAGGTGTCGTCCTCGTCACTTGACCATGGTTCAAAATGACAAGGTCCGTCGCCAAAATGCCCTCGTGTAGCTGAACAGTGCGACGTTAATATTCACTTACTCATGCTACCATTAATTTTTTCAAACGTCACAGTGTGTTATATGGTCTAAAATTATTTTCAACATGCTATTGCTGTAAATAAGGAAAAAAAAATAATAAAACAATCATATGTTTTTGGTTGAAGTGTCTGCAACAAGAAGCACTGAGTGAATCTCAACAACGCCGTCATCAGCTGAGTTGCGGTAGGAGTTTTCCTGGATTTTCGTCTCGCATTACATCCCTCTGAACCGTCTGGAAGCGTTTGTTTCCAAACATCGTGAGAGCGAATCGAATCAAAACAAACCTGGATGTGTTTTGAGCAACCGAAATAAACCTCTCTTCTAGGCACGGGGAAGCGAAGCGCGAAGGAATGTGTATCCTGACCCCGTTTCGCTTTTTTTCCTGCAGGTGGTTGTTTTCCTGCTTCTCTCGTTTACAAACAAGGCGAGGTGAGTGAACCCACATTCACGGACACTTTTCCCCATGCAAATCACCCACAGTGCCCTACATCGGATTTTAACCTTTGGGTTCGGTACCGCTACGCAGTCTTTATCTTCCAAAAAACCCAACACGCTCCACTGCCCCACGACACGCGTTCTTTTTTTCTGCCGATGGTATCCTCGGAAAACCTCTCCGGTTCAGAAGAATTCGTTTCATTTGTTTATCTTTTATCGAGGTGAGATTTAAAATAGACCCATTCCTCAAATGATTCTGTTTACGTCGCAACAACGTTTACTTCGATTCGATTGAACGACGCAGCGTGGCGATGCGGATGACAGCCGAGATCGTTAGCACACGAAAACAAGAACTTTCTCTCTTCGAATTTTGACATTTTTCTGTGTTGGGATTCTGAAATTCCCGTTTCAAGAGCTTATGCTCAGCATTCGAAAAACGCATTGTTACGGACTTCGTAATTTCAGAAAATTCTTAGATGATAGGAGCAGTGGCGTAACGGAGAATAATAAGGCCTTCCCCAGAAAGTGGTGGCCGCGGTTGCCGAGTGGTATAGGTATAGGATCGCGGCTGGTTTTGTCACGAGTTGGAGCCCAGTACCACTGAAGACACACCGTGTAGGGCAGCGATGCACTCTAAATCTGTCGAGAGCTGAAACGTCCTCCCGTTGGTGTGGTAGTTAGGAGAGGGGAGTGCCAGCTCAGGTGTCGTCCACGTCACTTTACCATGGTTCAAAATGACGTGGTCTATCGCCAAAAGCCCTCGTGTAGCTGAACAGTGCGACGTTAATATTCACTCACTCATTCACTCCCCAGAAAGTGTTTTGGGTCCCAAGCCAGATCTTACAAAGGATTGCAAGACCATAACATAACATAGGCTTTGGGCCCCCGCAATACAGGGGTTGCGGAAACGTATGTTACACCACTGGATAGGACGACATTTGAGCTGGTATCTCTGCTGTGCACTTCTCGAAGGCACGTGAAAGCTTTCGCAGAGAGGATGAGTAATGTGGGGTGCCATCTCAGATGTCGACCTCGTTGTCTAATCTTGGTTCAGGAAAGTGAGAACTATATTAACGTCGCATTATAAAGCAACACGAGGGCTATTGGCGACGGACCTCTTATTTTAAATTTAGGTCAAGAGACGGTGTCGACACCTGAGCAGACACCCCTCTCTTAACAACCTCACGGCACCAATTGGAGGTCATGGAGTCTTGACAGATTTGATGTACATCGTCCTCCTCTACACGGCGGGTCTTCAGTGGCACTAGGACTCGGAACCCGCGACTCTTCAGCCACGAGTTCATGACCATAACCACTATGCTACAACTACCATCAATGTTGGTTTTAAAAGTACGAGGGATATTTGTTGCGGTTAGCCAATCCTTGTGCCGGATAAAATACATATTGCAAGAAACAAAACAAAACAAATCACTCACAATTTCTTAATAAATTGGGTTAAAACCATGAAGTTTAACAAAATTAACATGAATGAGATTAGTGTGTTAATTAAACAAAAAACTCTTTCAGCACTATGCGTCATGATGTTCATTAGTTGTACAGTATGTGAAGGGTAAAGATAGTTTGCAGTGGCGTAACGAAGAATATTAGGGCCCCCTTGCAAAGTCTGGTTTTGGGCCCCAAGCCGAACCTTACAAAGGCGTCAGTCAAGCTGTGCCCCCCCCCCCGAATTCTAAGGAGCAGCAAGGGTGTACGCAACGCCGGAGATAGTTTGGTTGGTTGAGAAAGGGTAACGGGCTTAGGTCTTAATCTTCTGAAGACCTTTCCGAGCAGTTGCTAATAAACCTCGTAAACTATGATTCGTACAGGTACAGTTCCTTGGGTATTTTTTATATACACCCAAAGAAGAATCTAGCTGTGTAGAGTTTGGGCTCTATTTTCGGGATATCCAGTATATGTACTTCATTCTATTCATCAAAATATATTTATTTACAACATTTACTCAGTAACTGAGATTTTATCTTCAAACAAATTTTTAATGCTGAATTTGCTTGCGTGTTTACTCAACTCTACGTACTAAGTAATAGAAACTATGGAGTCCTTGCCATTGGAATATTTCTTACCATTTTTCCCATCGCAGGGTTGTCGAAAGCGAGATTTATGACTGTTATATAACGTTCGCTTCGGGGTGATGGAATCGAAGTATTTGCGCTTACGCAAGCGCGGCTAATAAATTGTTTCTACTCGCTCCGAAAGGCCTTCGCGAGAACTACTGTTGCAATGGCCTAGCACCAAGGTTGTTGGTCTTTAGAGGATTACGGGGCGGATATGGCAAAGCTTTCTTTCTGGAAGGAGATTTTAAGCAAAGGAAGGAAATTTGAGTGAAAGGTTCATGGAACTGCGACGGTGAAAACTTTTGACGCGTCTATGAATAAAATGTAGAAAAGGAAATCGTATTTCTGACAGGTTTTAATTCTCCATCTGATTGCTATTGAAAGAGAAGTTTTGAAAGTACTTCATCAATCATACACATACGGAAATTAAGCAGTTTACAATGATGCCACTAAAAATAATTATAAGAATTTAAAAATAATAATGAATGGGAATTAAAAACGAAAAAAAAAGAAAGAAAAAGAAAAAGTAGCAAACCAACAATATTAAAGTTAAATACAGTTATAAATAAATCAAAATAGAAAGAGCGAAAAATGAGAGAACAGATTATTTGAAATTTAATTAAAAATAGAAACAATAGTATGATTATTAATAGAATGAAAATAAAATTTATTTTGAAGAATAAATAATACTTAAATTTAAAAAAAGATTTTAAAAAATTTAATTACATTTTTACAAATTGCATAGTAAAAAAGCCAGAAAGAAAAAATAAATTTAAAAGAATATTTAGGATAAATTTGAATATAAAATATAACAAGAATATTGATAACAAAGCAATTTCAAATAGAAAAAGCAAAAACATAAAAATAAATAAATAAATTTCTTGTCTTTAAAATTCAAATGTTTTAAACATTTCAAAAACAAAATGGATGAATATATAGGGTATAACTTAAGCCTTTATATTTAAATTACCTTTTAAAAATCACCTCTGTCTGTGAATGCTTTTATTTAAAAATTTCGATGAAGGCGTCACTAAACGGAAAAAAGTTGCAAAAGGATTGTGAATTAAATTGTATTGAAAATGAATGGCTCCCTTTTTCTCACGTGCTGTTGCCAAATGAATTTCACTAAATAGTTATTCTTTCGAAACACAGTAAACTGTCAAGTTCTTAGCTTTATGGGCATGTTTTTAATACAACTTCGCCCAAGAATTAAAATAGCAGTTGCGATAACTTTGTTCTTGGTAAGAATTCTAAAATTCTCCTCTTCTTGAATTTCGATAATAAGAAAGGTAAGAAATATTTCTTTTCCGATCGAATGAGAAAAAATACATTTTTAAAACACATGGAAATCTTTTGTAGTATTATGTAAAGTTATAAGATACGAGTTTCTCAATTTAAAATGTGTTTAATGACACCTACATCAAATCTCAAGCAGTGTGATGGTTTATTTGAGCGTTAATTTTTAAATCTATCATTTAAATCGAATAGTTTTAATATTTCTATACTGCTGCAAAATGCATCGTCAATCAGAAAAAAAATCACTTTTTGATAATATCGTACAAAATGTGTGTATATTTTGTTCTCTTCAAAGCAGTAACAAATCCTCATTGTTTTAAAAACAAATTCCCACACGTTTTAGATGGGATGTGCTATGAATTTAGCATTTGTGCCAGAAAAAAAGGCGTCATAAAAACATATTTGTGGAAAATGGACGGGAAAAAAACCGTATCATTGTAGGCCAAAAAACAAACAAATAAACAAAACAAACAAACAAACAAAAACCCAGAGGTAGGAGAAAGATTTTATCAATTTTCTTTCTAAGCATAATCCAATAGATCCAATGACTTTAACTGATGTTTCAGTTACTTTCTTAAAGTTTCGCATAATACAAAAGTAAAATGTAATATGTTTATGATGAAAAATATTCCCGAAAAAGATTAAAAAACCAAACAAACAGTTAATCAGAAACAAATCTTCCGAGCACATTTACAGTATCTCTACATTGTATACATACATAATATTTACATGACGCTATTTTTCAAATAATAATGTGCAAATATTAAACTGTCTTGCTATCATGAATAAAAAAAATGCGAAATATCTTCATATAGACTTCCAAAAACAACAACATCAAGAAAAAAAAACTCTACATTATTCCAAGAAGTCGTTAAATGACGACATTCTCTTGTATTCGAAACACGCCATA